TAAGAGGAAAATACATAGCAATAGAAGCTCACATCAAAAAACAAGAAAGAACTCAAAGAAACAACCTAATCTCAAAGCTCAAAGATCTAGAAAAAGAACAACAAAAAACCCCAAAACCAGTAGAAGAAAAGAAATAATAAAAACCAAAGCAGAAATAAATGAAATTGAAACTAAAAAAACAATCCAAAAGATCAATGAAACCAAGAGCTGGTTCTTTGAAAAAATAAATAAAATAGACAAACCCCTAGCCAGGCTCACAAAGGAAAAAAGGGAGAAAGCACAAATAAACAGGATCATAAATGAAAGAGGAGAAATCACAACGGACACAGCAGAAATCAAAAGAATAATCAGTAACTACTATGAACAGTTATATGGAAACAAGTTCAACAATCTAGAGGAGATGGACAAATTCCTACAACTCGACAATCACCCAAAGCTAGATAAAGAAGAAATAGAACACCTAAACAGACCAATTACAAGCAGCGAAATTGAAATGGTAATCAAAAACCTCCCCAAAAACAAAAGCCCAGGACCTGATGGATTTACAAATGAATTCTACCAAACATTCAGAGACGAATTAGTGCCTATCCTTCACAAACTCTTCCAAAAAATTGAGAAGGAAGGGACAATACCAAACACGTTCTATGAAGCCAATATTATACTAATACCAAAACCGAATAAGGACAACACAAAAAAGGAAAACTACAGGCCAATCTCCCTAATGAACACTGATGCAAAAATCCTCAATAAAATTTTAGCTATCAGAATCCAACAATGTATCCATAAGATAATTCACCACGACCAAGTTGGATTCATTCCAGGGACACAAGGATGGTTTAACATCCGAAAATCAATCAACGTTATCCAACACATCAACAAAAAGAAATATAAAAACCATATGATAATATCAATAGATGCTGAGAAAGCTTTCGACAAAGTGCAACACCCATTCATGATAAAAGCCCTTGAAATTCTTGGGATACAAGGAACATACCTCAACATCATAAAGGCCATCTATGACAAGCCAACAGCCAGTATCATTCTCAATGGTGAAAAGCTGAAAGCAATTCCATTAAGATCTGGAACAAGACAAGGATGTCCACTCTCACCACTGCTTTTCAATATAATACTGGAAGTCCTAGCCAGAGCAATAAGACAAGAGAAAGACATCCAAGGAATCCAAATAGGAAAAGAAGAAGTCAAATTATCACTATTTGCAGATGATATGATAATATACATAGAGAACCCCAAAAACTCCACAGAAAAACTAATTCAACTCATCAATCAGTTCAGTAAAGTGGCAGGATACAAAATCAACACGCAAAAGTCAGTAGCCTTCCTATACACAAACAATAAATCTGAAGAAGAAGAAATCAAAAAAAAAACATCACTTTTATTATAGAAACAAAAAAAATCAAATATTTGGGAATAAATCTAACAAAAGAGGTAAAGGACCTATACAAAGACAACTATAAAACACTGTTAAAAGAAATAGAAGAAGACACAAAGAAATGGAAAGACATCCCCTGCTCATGGATTGGAAGAATAAACATTATTAAAATGGCCATCCTACCAAAAGCAATATACAGATTCAATGCTATTCCAATCAAAATTTCAATGTCATTCTTCAAAGAAATAGAACAATTATTAATGAAATTCATATGGAATCACAAAAAACCCCGAATTGCCAAAGCTCTCCTGAAAAAGAAAGAAGGGAATGGAGGCATCACACTCCCAGACTTCAAACTCTACTACAAAGCCATAATCATCAAAACTGCATGGTATTGGAACAAGAACAGACATACAGACCAATGGAATCCAATAGAAAATCCAGAAATAAACCCACAGATTTATGGTCAACTAATCTTTGACAAAGGAGCAAAGACTATGCATTGGAGCAAAGAAAGTTTGTTCAATAAATGGTGCTGGGAAAACTGGGTCGCTACATGCAAAAGAATGAAGCTTGACCACTACCTCACACCATACACAAAAATCAACTCAAAATGGATTAAAGAACTAGACATAAGACCTGAAACCATAAAATACATAGAAGGAAATATAGGCGAAACACTACGTGATTTGCACATCAAAGACATCTTTACAGACACATCACCCAAAGCAGTGATAGTGAAGGCAAAGATAAACAGCTGGGACTACATCAAATTAAAGAGCTTCTGCACAGCAAAAGAGACAATAACAAAAACAAAGAGAAACCCCACCAACTGGGAGAACATTTTTGCACCCAACACTAATGATAAAGGACTGATCACAAAAATCTGCAAAGAGCTGATGAGACTCAGCAACAACAAAGAAAATAATCCTGTCAAAAAATGGGCAGAAGAGCTAAAAAGAAACTTCTCTGAAGAGGAAATGCAAATGGCCAACAGACATATGAAAAAATGTTCAACATCACTTGTAATCAGGGAAATGCAAATCAAAACTACCATGAGATACCATCTCACACCAGTGAGAATGGCACATATTAAAAAAACTAGCAACAACAAATGTTGGCGAGGGTGTGGAGAAAAAGGAACTCTTCTGCACTGTTGGTGGGAGTGCAAACTGGTCCAACCACTATGGAGAGCTGTGTGGAGATTTCTGGACCTACTAAACATAGAGCTTCCATATGATCCAGCAATTCCACTCCTAGGTATTTACCCAAAGGACACAGAAACATCAATTCCAAAGAACACCTGCACCCCTATGTTTATAGCAGCACTATTTATAATAGCTAAGCTTTGGAAACAGCCCAAATGCCCAAAAATAGATGACTGGATCAAGAAGATGTGGTACATATACACCATGGAATATTACTCAGCATTCAAAAAAGATAAACACATGCAATTTGCAGCAACATGGATGGCGTTGGAAGGGATCATGCTCAGCGAAATAAGCCAAAAAGAAAAAGAAAAATACCGGATGGTCTCACTCATAGCAGGAATCTAGAAAACTTAAATAAGGGACCAGGAAAATGAATAAGTATAAGAAAGTGAAAATAAAAATCAACAAAAAATTATGAACCAGAGACACTTTTTGGGGGGTGGGGGGCAGGAGGGGAGGGATTGGGGTCAGAATGGGGCGTTTGCAATTGTATGGGGGAATATAAAAATAAAATTTATTATTTAAAAAAAAAGAAAAGAAAAAAAATAAAACTGATTTTGCAGGAAAAAAAAAAAAAACATAAGGTTATTAAAGAGCAGGGCCTAGCAAATGCCAGGAGTGTCTTCAAAGCCCCACTGGGGTGTCCTGGGTGGAAAGGTTTTCCTGCAGACATTTTTCCATCCATATCATCACCCTCTCCCCATTTCTGTCTGGTTTTCCTCCCCTCCTCCTGCACCCAACCGTCTTGTCACGTCCTCTTTTCTCCTCACTGCTCAGATGCAGGGAATTGCACAGCCCTCATGTTCCCTGAGGCACTGAGCCACTGAGCCGCCCCTAAGCCGCCCCTGATGGCTTTCTTTTGGCTTCCTGATGAAGCTGCTGTCCTCGGCCTGGGGCATTCCTGCAGCAGGGCCCCGCCTGGCTTTCATTCTCCTTCAGGTTTTCCCTGCTGTCTGGGTCTTCCTCGCTCTCCAGTGTTCCCCGGCTCTCTCGGGCGCTCCTATTTTTGGCCTTGCCTCACTCTCGAGGTTTTTCTTATCCTTTGTCATTTCCTTGCCTCCCATCTTCCTTCATTTTCTACCCTTCCCTTGTCTTCCAAAGTACAACTGCTTCTGGCTTTCCCCATCCCTGGGCTGTTTTCATTTTCCATCTTTCCTTGGTCATCAGGCTTCCCTTTGTTTCCAAGGCAGAGTATTTCCACGTTAAGATTTCTCCTTTTCCTGTGCTGCAGGGACTCTGGTTCCTCCCTGTAAGGGCCAGGAATGGACACTTGTAAGGGCAGGACTGGACACAGAGCAGGTTTTCTGATCCCATGCAGACCGGGTAAAGGAGGAGTCAGAGTCCTCAGTGGTTTTGCAGGTCTTTTATTGGGGTTCAGCGGGTATATGGCAGGCAGGGGTGCTGGCTGGGGGGCTGGGAGGCTGGCAGGCCTCCCAGCCCCCAGCAAGTCTTCACTCTATCTGGGTTCTCGGGTGATCTCGGCTTTTCTTCGGCTTCTACTGCTGCTACTGCTGCTGCTGCTGCTGCTGGCGTCCCTGTGACGCCACCCTTAAAAAGCACAGTCTTAGCTCAGCTGAATCCCATCTACCTATGCCCACACCCTATTCCAGGTGCCCACCATCAGGCATGCATTCAGGACAAGGATCCATCATCTATCCTGATGGCGGAAGGGCAGAAAAGCCTGATATTTTCTTTACCCTACAACACTGAACAGGTTTTCTGATCCCATGCAGACTGGGTAAAGGAGCAGTCAGAGTCCTCAGTGGTTTTTTGCAGGTCTTTTATTGGGGTTCACCAGGCATATGGCAGGCAGGGGTGCTGGGGAGGCCTGCCAGCCTCCCAGCCCCAGCAATTCTTCACTCTATCTGGGCTCTCTGGCGTTCGTTCTGCTGCTTGTCAGCTTCTCTTTCGGCTTCGGCTTCTGCTTCTTTGCTTCTCTCTTGGCTTCTGCTGGCGTCCCCGTGACGCCGCCCTTAAAAGCACAGTCTCAGCCCAGGTGAATCCCATCTACCTATGCCCACACCCTACTCCAGGTGCCCGCCATCAGGCATGCAGTCAGGACCGCAAGGATCCATCCTCTATCGTGATGGTGGGAGGGCAGGAAAGCCTGACATTTTTTCCTTACCCTACACTCCCCCACCTCCCCACTCCAAGCCCCTTTTCCAGCCTCACAGAGTGCTGGAAATAAGAGGCGCAGACCTTCAGACTGACCAGTGGCCAGGGCGGGCTGTGCCTCAGCTGAACCTGATGTGCTCATCACTTCACAACATCTGTATATCAAACCATCACACATACACCTTACCCAGTGAAGTATGTCAATGACTTCTGAATAAAACTGGAAAAAAAGAAAATACAAAAAGGCATAGCAAGGAATAAATCAAAACACTGAGCATACTTACCTTTAGTGCAAACGACAAAGAGGGACTTCAGGGGTATGGATTTATTTCCTAAGTTTTCTGCAATGAAAATAAATTGCTTGTTAAGAATAAGCCACCCCTTCTCCCGAGTTTCCCAGAACCAGCACAGCAGCATGAAGGCTCTCAGTCTCCCCAGGAAAGGGCACTGTAGGGAAAATGGAAGTTATCAGGTTTTTCTGCCCTCTCGCAATTAGCATCAATAATTGACCCCAGTGGTGTCACATGTGCGCCTGATGGCGACACCTGGAGCGTGGTGTGGGCGTGCGTGAGTGGGCAGAGCAGGGTAGAGTACAGTGGAGAGTATCAGAGGACAGCTAAGCGAGTAAAGAGGGTATCGGGGTTTGCAGGGGAGCCCTAGTTACTGTCTCCATGCTGGCTTGCCTCCCCTAACCTGAGAGGATGATGCCAAGGGCTCCAAGATTCTCTTTCAAGCTGCCTGAACCGATGATGAACCTACCTGTCCTGGGATGATTGCTGAATAGTTACCCATTCTCAATAACAGAAGCGCCCTATAGGGTAAGGTAAAAAGAATCAGGCTTTTCTGCCCTCCCGCCATTAGGATTGATGATGGATCTGCGGTCCTGAATGCATGCCTGATGGTGGGCACCTGAAGTAGGGTGTGGGCATATGTAGATGGGATTCACCTGGGCTGAGACTGGGCTTATAAGGGCAGCGTCATGGGGACTCCAGGAGAACAGAGCAAGAGGAACAGCAGCAGAAGAGCAGAGAGACCAGAACAAGTGAGAAGCAGAGGCCACGAGAGAATGCCAGTGAGCCCAGAAAGAGGCACTTCTGTCTGCCGTGTACCTAGTAAATCCCAATAAAAGCCTGTAAAAGCCACTGAGGGCTCCAGGACTCCTTTACCCACCTTGAATTGTAGCGATCATGCTCTGTCCCATCCTGCCACTACATGCCCCCGTCTCAATGCTTGCCATTATCCGGGTTTACATCACTCCCTCTCCCAGGCTTGCTCTCCCAGCCCTTCCTGGGATGAATGACTAGGCCCTGAAGCACCTTCAGTGAAAAATCCCTTGTCAAAACTAGCAGAAACAACCTAAATGTCCAAAAATAGATGAATGGATCAAGAAGATGTGGTATTTATATACAATGGAATAATACCAGCAATCAAAAAAGAAAAAAATCATGCCATTTACAGCAACATGGATGGAGCTGGAAGGGATTATGTTCAGTGAAATAAGTTAGAAGGAAGAAAAATATTGGATGATTTCACTTATCGGAAAGAACCCAAAGGGTAGAATAAAAGACAAAACTAGGTAAATTATAGATCTGAGACACACAGCAGGGGAGAAGGGAGGGGGCCAAAACAGGGAAGGAAAGAGCACAAGGGATTATGGTGACAGATCACGGGGTGATGTGGTGTTGGGAGATTTATGGGGTTTATACCTGAGGGGAGAAATCAAATATTGTACAAAAATGAAAAATGATGTAAGAAGAAGAAAAACAAAACTAGCAGGGCTGTCATTTCTCCAGTCAGACCTTGCAGACATGTGCCCCCAGGCTTGATCCAGTTGCTGAGCTGGGAGGTGGAGGTAGATCCTGAGGAAGACAGCAGTTTCTGGCAAGGCATCTGCTTTCGTTGAGACCTGGTGGTGAGCAAAAAGGAGAAGCTGCAATCTTCTGTAAAGGGTGGAAGACCACTTCTGCAGGCCTACAAGTTCCTATCCAGAAAACCCCAACTGTGGTCCCAGAATCTCCTTTCTACTGCTTTGTTGTGGAGGAGATTTTTGCAGAGTGGCTAATTTATCTTCCTATGAAATTATACCAGTTTTAGAGTGATCTTGGGCCTGGTCTTTAGCAGAACTGGTCTCAGTGCATGAAATGAGGGTGCTCTTGAAATGGGCTCACAGAGGCCTCTGGCTTTCATATGTGCCTTAAATTGGTGATCCATTAACCCAAGCTTATTATCTTCTCTCCTTGATGTACAATGGCACCCTGCATCAATGAGTCAATTCCAGATAATTCAATAAAATAGAACATTTATATAAAAAGGTAATATATGATAAAGGTGGAGTTATAGATAAGGTGGACAATTCTACAATTATACAATTAGTAGTATTGGAATACCTGTGAAGCAATGAGCCAGATGTAATTAAATTTTTTGAAAAGCACAAAAAAAAAATTTAAATTAGAAAGCACTCTTCAACAGAACTAAGAAAATAAAGGAGAGGTGAATATTTACATAGACTTAATAAAGATGGCTTTTGAAGTATTTCACAAAAGGAAAAAAATGATACAAGCAATAATAACTTGAAAATTTATTTCTCAAACACATCTCAAAAAGCTGAAATCACATTGGCAGTTTAACCTAATTTTAGGGTTTTTTAGGTAGTTTTAAAAAAATCTCTCAAATAAAATTTAAAATCAAAGTATAATTTGCACTATTTGTAATAGATATGATGTGCAAGTATATGTGTATTTGTGTGGGATACTATATCTTTGTCAGAGCATAAATCTCTTCAGAAATCAATTAGAGGGCCTCCCCTGGTGGCGCAGCGGTTGAGAGCTGGGCTGCAAGGCTGCCCGCAGCCTCTGCAGCGCCAGTTCATTCCTCCGCCGCCAGCGAGGGTCCCACAAAAAAAAAAAAGAAAGAAAGAAAGAAAGAAAGAAATCAATTAGAAAAAAGACATCAATAAAAATATACTAAATGGGAAAATCACAAAAGGAAAAATTCTAGTAGCTAAGAAACTGTAACTAATCTATATAACCTCATGACTTTAGAAAATTTTAAATAAAGAATATGCTCCTGGGCCTCCCGGGTGGCGCAGCGGTTGAGCGCTGGGTTGCGAAGCTGCCGGTGGCCTCTGCAGCACCTGTTCAATCCCCGGCCACCGGGCGAGAGGCCCACATGGCGCGCAGACCACTCCTGCCGCCGGCTGCTCCCCTCAGCAGTGTACTTCGTCACTCTGCCTGTTCTGTGCTCCGCTTTGGCTCTGGTGAATTCTCTCACCCTCCCGCACCTCTGACTGTACCCAGTGCTTGTATTAAAATAATTATTTCCAGTACACTGAATTTTAAAACAATCTAAATGCTTAATAATAGGGTATTTCCAAGCTATATAATTGTATTATTTTAAAATTGGAATATTTTCACATTCATTACAATTTTTTTATTCCAAATAATAGGAAATGTGTTAATGCTATATCATATGAAATAAGTTTTCCAAAATATGTAAGTGCTACCATCCTATGTTCTCAAACCCACCATGTGCTTGTCCACAGAGTACAGAGCTCAAAGACAAGGTAACAATGTTTGCTGTGGTGCTAGAATAACTTGATGACTTTGTCATCTTTCTGCTTTTATCTATTGAGTAAATACCCTACAGTAAACATTCATTACTTTTTAAAAAATTAATTTTTAACTGAGGTACTATTTGTGTATCCCCATCAGGTATTTCTGTTACAGACCAACCCCTATATAAAACGGGTTGCCTGTGGGTCCTCACCCGCATGCTTAAAGGGGGCTTATTAATACTAAACTGCAGACACACACAAAAGGTTGATAAAAGGTTTATTTACAAGGGAAGGGGTAATGGGAAATGAATAACTCAGGGAGAAAAAGGGAGATAAGAACATAAATGTGTCCTACCCATTCTGCTGACCTGGAATCCCAATGACCTGCCAAGCTGGTGAAAAGCCAAGCAGTCAGAGTGGCCAAGAGAGTGACCCCCAGCCACATGGCCAGTTAAATACTCAAATGGAGACTGTAGTTGCTTAACTCCGCCCTCAGGCCCTCGCAACGTTCCCATTGGTGATCATGGGATTTGTAGTTCCCAGTGTCTTGATGGAGTCGGGTGGAGTCCACAAAGGATGTCAGGACATCCTTTCCCCCTAACATTACTACCATAGTTCACCCACCAACTCAGCCATATTCCATCACCACAGATCATTGTACTTCCCTCTCTCCCAGTCCTCGACCTTCCTCAAGCCCCTCCCCCATGGTAGCAGCTCTCAAGAGCTAGTGTGGGGCCTCAGCTACAAGCTTGCTTGGTTCTTAAGGGCAGCAGATGAGAAAAGAGGTCATGAAGCCCATATGTAGAGAGCAGGAACAAGTCTTTATTATGAGACACCTGGAGATACACAGTAGCTGCAGCATCCAGCAGTGGCAGCGCCTCAGTCTCCAACCACCCAGGAGAGGCGGTGAGAGGCCCGTGAGAAGCCCCTCCCAGAGGAGTCCTATTAGTTTTTATATGATTTATAGACAAAGCCAGAACAGGGCCAAGTTTAGGCCTGGTTTATAGAATGTTTTGCGCATGCAAACTATACATCAAGGTTACATATTATTTACTGCTCTCCACACATGCGGACCACATCTCAAGGCTAAATGTCATGTACTAGGCCACCTGTGCTGGAAGGTCACAGCCAAAAACAGCCTGAGAAACTCTGAGAAAATTGTTCTCCCTTGGGTCCTACAGTTAGTTTTTCAGCTTGTTTATATGTAACTATTAATTTATTTACTTTATGTTACACATATTAGTGACACTGTAGTGCCAGCAAGGCACAGGGCAGGTTTTCTGTGATCTGGGCAGATGGGTAAAGGAAGAGCCCTCGAGCCCTTTTTCAGGCTTTTAATGATCTTTCAATACCATCTGTAGTGAGGCAACCAGGTACAGGGCAGGCGGCGGCAGGGGGCGGGGGCTGGGGGCCAGGAGGCTGGCAGGCCTCCTAGTCCCTGGTGAATCTTCACTCTTTCTGGGCTCTCTGGCATTTGCATTCTCTCCTGGTCTCTCCGCTGGTCTCTTTGCTGGTCTCTACTGCTGCATCCTGTTCTTTCTGCTGCACCTCTGTCTCTGCCGCACCTCTGTCGCTCTGCCCTTATATGCTGTCTCTCAGCTCAGGGGTGCCACTTACGCATGCCCACACCATGCTCCAGGTGCTGCCATCAAGCACACGTGTAAGACTACAGGTGTAGATCATTGATGCTAATGGTGGGAGGGCATGAAAAACCCAATAATTTCCATTTACCTTACAGACACCATCTGGTATTTATCTCTCTCCTGACTTATTTCACTCAGCATTAGCCAAGTTCCATCCCTGTAGCCACATATGGCATGAGTTTATCTTTTTGGATTGCTGAGTAGTATTCCATTGTGTATATACACCACATCTTCTTGAACAACTCATCTGTTTTGTTGTACTTAGGTTGTTTACATAGTTTATAATAAATACTGCAACAAACATTGTATTAACTTTTCAAGCTTCCATTTTCTAGACTCCCATAATTAACATTCACTGGGGGATTCAAACCCACTTGTGATGAAACTTGGGGACAAGGCGAGGAGACAAGTTTGGGGATTGGAGGGTTTGTGATATCCTGAGAGGTTGGCCCCAACTTCCTTCCCCTCCCTGCCTCACTCTGATCTTGGGCACGCGCTGCGGACCTCCCCACAGGAACAGTGGTCTCTGCTTGCTGGAGCTGACATCAGTGTGGCTGTCACTCACAGCCTCTTTATCAGGATATCAGCCCTACATTATCCCATCAGACTGTATCCTCAGGTGTAAGCTGATTCCCTGGTGATGACAGGTTTATTGCATTTGAAAGTGAAGGTTCTATAAACTTCAATTAGGACCAGACAGAATTCTACCAAAAAGCTTTATAATCATTAGGCAGGAATATGAGTCATTCAAGCTCGATATTATGGAAGTTTCACCAGGGATTTCTTTCTTCTCTGAATGACAAGTATAACAAAGGCCTATAAAATAAATGACAGTCATCTGCAAAGCTTTACTCCTCTTTGACTAATAGAACTGGTCAGATTGATCCTTAAGAGACCTGAAGAAGGGCCTCCCTGATGGCACAAGGGGTTAAGACACAACCTATGAAGCTATCTGCAGCCACTGCAGCACAAGTTCGATCCCCAGGCAGGGAGATACCCACATGGTGCAGTAGACTTCTCCTGACTCACTCTCCTGCTGCTCCCCTCAGCAGTGTATTTCAGTCAATCCACGTATTCTGTTCCCCATTCTGTCTCTGGTGAATCCTCTCACCCCCCTCCAGACCTCTGGCTGTACCCCAGTTCTTGTATGCATAAATAAATAAATCTTTAAAAAAAAGAGAGAGAGATCTGAAGAACCTGTGTCAGACACACTGCCATTCAAGGGTTAATGATGCTCTGTCTCTGTCTCTGGAGATGAGGTGAATACAGTCAGGACATTTTTCAGTCAAGCTCCATGCAAGACCAGAAAAGAAGACTGTTTTCTAGAGAAACAAATAGAAGCTCCTTTCTGGACCATGGTCTTGCCCAGTGAGGCACAGAGTTCCAGAGAGGAAAGAAAACACAGAGGATGTGGGGTCCCAAACCCACTTCCTGAGCCTCAAGTCACCAGGAACTCACACTGTGGTCTGGCCATTCATGATGTGTGTGTGCATGTGTGTGTGTGTTTTGTGCAACCATCCCAGGCCGGGTAGGTTCATTGTTGATTCTCACAGATGAAAAGAAATTTTAGAGACTTTGGTATCTCTAACATGCCTCTAATCCTGAAGCAGGGGCCAGGCACAGGCAGACTAAGAGGCACGGAGTTAGCAACTGAGCCCCTAGCCTCAGAGTGACGCAGCCATCACCAACGCCTGAGATGAGGAGCCCCTT